CCAAACTGTAGCCCCCTTGCAGTTGGGGCCAGGTCATTCTCTGTGGTATGGGGCTGTCCTGAACATTGCAGGACATTTAGCAGCATCCCTAGCCTCTACTCACTAGATGCCATAACACCCCTATCCCCACCACACCCGGTCCCACGTTGTAACAGTTAAAAATGTCTTGGGCTTCCCTGGTGGCGCAGTGGTTGAGAGTCCGCCTGCCGATGCAGGGGACACGGGTTCGTACCCCGGTCCGAGAGGATCCCACATGCCGCGGAGCAGCTGGGTCCGTGAGCCATGGCCGCTGAGCCTGCGTGTACGGAGCCTGTGCTCCGCAACGGGAGAGGCCACAGTAGTGAGAGGCCCGCGTACCGCAAAAAAAAAAAAATGTCTCCAGGTGTCACCAAGTGTCCAAAGGAGCAGGATTGCCCCCTAGTTGAGAATCGCCGCTCTAACTGGTTACCCTGCTTACATTGGGTTGACTGGTGGCCCTTAAAGAGATATATCCAAGCCCTAACCCCCAGAACCTGTGACTGTGACCTTATTTGGAAAAGAGTCTTTGCAGATGTAATTAAATTAAGGATCTCAAGATGAGATGATCCTGGATTGTCTAGGTAGGTCCTAAATCCAATGACAAGTGTCCTTATAAGAGGCAGGAGAGGAGAGGACACAGACACACAGGGAGAAGGCCATGTGAAGACAGAGGCAGAGATAGGAGTGATATGGCCTGGCCGGAAGTCAAGGAATGCCTGGAGCCACCAGAAGTTGGAAGAGGCAGGGAAGGGTCCCTGGAACTTTCAGAGGGTATGAGGCTGTTGACACTTTGATTTCTGACTCCTGGCTTCAGGAAGAACTGAGAGACAATACATTTCTGTTATTTTAAGCTACTCAGTTTGTGGTACTTTGTTATGGCAGCCCCAATAAACTAATACCCCTACTGTAGTGGGCACTTGAATTTGGCACAGAGAAATGGCTCCCTCCCATACGGCGCTCATGTTCTCCTGATAGTGCAATTCCCATGCTTTGATCTTCCGGTTATTTTATTTCAACGTGTGCTTCATTCCTCTTGTTCTTCCAGAAAGTTCCAAGAACTCCCTTTGCTGTGGCCTGCAGACCCATGTGGTCAGCCGGGGAAGGGAGATACCCATCATTCTGTGCCCCCCACCTACTGTGTGCCTGCTCACTCTCCAGACCAGAAGCCCCTTGTGAGCCTTTCTGCACAGCGCGCGCGGGAGGTGGGCATTACCACCCAGAGGGCGACCAGTGTGCTGAGGGGAGAGGTGACCTGCCCAAGGCCACCCAACTGGAGAGGCTCAGAGCCTGCTTTGGCCCTGAAAGCTGAGTTCTGTCCCTCTGTCCAGGCCTCAGTTTCCCCTCCTGTGAAACAGGGATAGGACCATTCCTTAACCAGTCATCTGGAATCCCTGGGGACAGTTACGTTTTTGGAATTGGGAATTTTTCAGATCTTAGGAAGGTAACAGGGTGAAAGCTGCCATGTGTGGTGTGATGTCCCTGGGGGGGTATGGGGAAGCCCCTACGTAAAGGGATAAATAAAGGATAAACAGGGGTAAAAAGGGATCATTGATCACTGAAAACAGCCAGAGTCAATGCCGCGGAAGTGGTCCCTCCGCCGGAGTACTGGCACTACCTTAAGAAAAAGTTGGGTTTGCAGAGCCTTTGTGGGGATTTGGGGACTGCTGACTGAGGAGAAGAGTATCTCCGTGCACAGCATTTGGGATCTTAGTTCCCGACCAGGGATGGAACCTGCGCGACCTACAGTGGAAGCACAGTCTTAACCACTGGACCACCAGGGAAGTCCCACGTGTACTATTTATTTATTTATTTATTTATTTATTTTTTGCGGTACGCGGGCCTCTCACTGCTGTGGCCTCTCCCGCTGCGGAGCACAGGCTCCGGACACGCAGGCCTAGCGGCCACGGCTCACGGGCCCAGCCGCTCCGCGGCATGTGGGATCTTCCCGGACCGGGGCACGAACCCGCGTTCCCCGCATCGGCAGGCGGACCCTCAACCACTGCGCCACCAGGGAAGCCCCGACGTGTACTATTTAATCAGGGCTCAGTAAACTTGGTAAGATGGAGGGAGGAAGAGAGAGAAGAAAGGGGGAAGGGGAGGAAGGGAGGGGAAGAAGAAAGAGAAAGAAGGGAGGAGGAGGGAAGGCAGGAGGATGGGGGAGGAAGGGGAAGGAGGAGTGGCTGGAGGAGGGGGAGAAGGGAGCAAAGGGGGAAGTGGAGGAAGGGGGGGGGCTTGAAGAGGGGAAGGAGAAGGGGGAGGGGGAGAGAGGGAGGAAGGGGCAAGTGGGGGAATCAGGGCAAGATGGGGAAGCGGGGGGAGAAGTTTAAGGAAGAGTGAAAGGGGAGGAGGAGGGTGAGGAAGGGGAGCAAGCTGTCTGCCCACATTTGTGAATGAATGAATCTCAACTCCAGCTAGTGTGACAGTTCCAGGCATCAGTTTCTTTACCTGTAAAATGGGGTGATCACAATAGTGCTACCTGGCAGGATAAGAGTGCTGCTGTAGTTACTGGGCATTGCTGACTCCACTGACCCCCGGTTGAGAAAGTAGGGGATCAGTGACTGGCTCTGGGCCTGTCCTTCGGATCTGCCTCCTCGTCCCCATTTTACCCACCCTAGGTGGCCCGCAGGGACCAATGGCAGCATGGGTGCACTAGCGCACACGCGCGCGCACCTGTGTGTGTGTGTGTGTGTGTGTGTGTGTGTGTGTGTGTGTGGGG